TTGCCTCTGGTCTTCCTGTTTGATCGCTCTTCTTGCAGTTATGAGCCTCAGTTTACTCCTCGCACCCTCCCAGAAAACATCCGCTTTGCCCGTAAGATTGTTTTTTCTGTTATGTTTGCAATGTCTTGTTTTGTGTCATTTAGTTCAGTTGAACGTGCTTTGGTGGAAGTTTTACATTTGGTTTGTGATAAATTAAGTAAATGAACATACAAAAGTTTTGGATGTGGACAAATTATGATCAATACAATAAATTGCCACAAATCAGCACAGGACTATTTGCTCCACATTCACTAATAATACAAAGAGAAAATTAACATTAGACAGATGCAAATTCTTTAATATCATTTATAGTTGTGACGTCGAAATTGTTTTTATATGAACCATAAATTTGATCTTATCTAATTCTCTTTTAATTTAATTTCTCTGACGCGAAACTCTGACTAAACACTGATAATAAGTGAACATCTGTTGCTTATCTCTAACTTTTGTGTGTGTGTGTCTTTCTTTGTCTCTGTCTTTCTCATAGAAACTAATCCCATGCACCCTCTGGCTTACAGCCCTCTGAGGAGGACTTGTGGCCAGGCGTGGCACACCATCTTCTCCCTGAAGGAAGACTGGCAAAGACTGCAGCAGGGGCAGAAAGCTGCCATGTAAGACATACACAAAACTCTCACACACAGCAGACACGTGTATGAACTGATTGATAAAACAAACACATTTCTTCTTCTCGTTCTTTCAGCATGAGCCTGCTGAGGCACAACTCCTCACTGTCCAAACAGAAGAATGAGATGGTGTCCATGCACCAGAGGCTCATGGCCAAGCTTGACTTCTTTACCACCAGCCTTCACATAGACATGGACAAATACCAGGAGCAGACAGCCACCGGGATCGGTATTATATCCAAATATATACCAAAACCTCTTAATCGATAGAAGGGAGTTACATTAGAACTGAGTTTAAACTAATGTCAGTAGCTAGAACAATTCAGTTTACCACTGACTAATGAGAGTCTTTTTACATCTGTAGCATCAGAGAAGCTCCTCTGTGTGTGGAGGGAGATGGAGCAAACTGCTGCCAGCTGTGGTCAGGTAGAGTGTGTGTCTGTGTGTCTGCGTGTGTGTCTGCGTGTGTGTGTGTGTGTCTGTGTGTGCAAAGAGTATTCACTTTTGCTGTAAAAAGACTAAAAAGTGTGTGTGTGTGTGTGTGTCTGTGTCTGTGTCTGTGTGTCTGTCTCCAGGCCAATGTGAGTGAATTGGAGGAAGAGATAATGCAGCTGCAGCAGGACATAGTGGATGTGCAGAGGCAGCCCTGGAGGAGTGGAGAGGCCCTGGACACATTGTAAGTCTGAACCCAATTAAACTTTAAAAGCAATGAAAACAACAGCTTTGTGATCCTCCATCATGCTCACGTCCCTGCTTTGGTCCTCAGAGAGGGAAAGGCGATGGAGCTGTTCCGCAAACTCAGAGAGAAACCCAGAGGTTTGGATTTGTTCATGCTTCCGCTCACTTTTTACTTAACAATCGTTATGGTGTTTCCATTTAAAAATAAACCTCCTTCTTTCTTTCCTTTTCCCGTCCTTCTGTTCAGACCAGCGTTGTCCAGGAGACAGTCAGGACGTGGTGCGCCTGGTGGTTCAGGCTGTGCAGTTCTACGAGAGGAAGCTCAGAGACTTTTACACACACCTTAGGTACTCGCACACAAAACATGTTTTATTTTTGAACAGGCCTTCTTAAGATTTACCAATTAAGTTATTGTGTTGGGAAAATTTGGGTTGAAGAACTGAATGACACCTGAAAAGCTCAATAGTTGCCCCGCGTTAACCTTCTTTTTGACAATGTGCATTTGTATTATTAAACATGATGTTGCCACAATACTAAAACTGACTACTGAGGCTGTGTAGAGCCTCTGGAAGACATATTTTAGAATGTCAAAAGCAGAGATGTGACTAATAACATAACACACAAACAGTAGCGTGAAGTATTTATAAATCTGTGTGGTCTAGACACAGCCCTGAGACAAGGTCTGCTCAGGCTGAATAATGGAAAACACTGATTAATATTTATAACTGTGTTGTGATGGCCAAGTGCAAATGCTGACGGATTTGTAACATTTAATTTGATTGTTTATTATTGAGTGTAAAAAATCACAACCCTTTATTAATGAAACACTTCATTGAACATTTCACCATCACATCTGTGGGTATAAATCAAACAGCTTATTCGTTATCCGTAATAACTCATAATAAGCAGGTACATTTCTTCCGTATTGAGCCACTGTTCACCACTGCCACACCACTGTGCGTGTTTGGCAGTAAGACCGCCGTGTGTCGTCAGCGTGTGATGGAGCTGCTGCCGAAGGTGGAGGGCGTGGTCCAGAAGATGGCCGAGAGCGAGCAAGTCCTGATGAGTCTGCAGGAGAAAAGACAGAGGGAGCTGTGGAACCTGCTCAAAGTCGCCTGTGTGAGGACTCACACACTGCTCACACACACACTGATCACACACACACTGCTCACACACACACTGCTCTCTTTTAAGGGTTGATTCCATAACCTCTTTGGTGGAAGTAATAATTATCATCGGGAAGCCGCAAGTATACAGATACTGACAAGTTTCAATAAACTCAAATTAGGTTGAATTTAGCCATTTCCATTTCCAATGACCACTCTTGTTTATTTCTGCTCCAACACTCGACAGTGATTCATCCACTTTAAAAAAATCTAGACGTCAAACATTGAAATGACAAAAGCTGAGTCGATTCTACACAGTTACCTTGAGAACGTATTTCTCTTCCATAATAAGCAGGTGCTGTGTTAACTAACAGAAGAAAGTGCATCATCTTTTCATCTCTTCTTTTGTAGAGTAAAGTTCGCAGCCCAGTGAGCGGAAGTCCTGATGGATTACGAACCCCCTCGTCGGTGCCTCCTCTGCTAACCCCAAGACAAAGTTTACAGCAGTTGTGAGTGCGCTTACACACACACACAAACACACACACACACACACACATATATATATTTGTGTATATATTCAGGGTGTAAGACTTATTTTCCTAATATATTATTATGAGCTACATAAAATAAACATTCCTTGACATTTCACTGAGCCACGTAAATATTGGCTCAGGAAGACACAGCGTTGAGAATTCTTCACATACTTTTGGGGGTTGTCAACACTACTTGAGTCAAAGTTGTGGGAGTCGTCTTCATATACTGATGATCACCAGAACCTTTGCATGTACTGTATAAACATGGATTAACTCTAATACTATCATGAGTAGCATCTTCATGAGTCAAACCTTGGTTGTGTCTGCAGAGATGAGTCTCTGGTGGAGCAGAGCAGAACGTTTGAGAGTCGACTGCAGAGTTTGCTGCACGGCACCATCCAGGAATCAGAAAACAATATGGAGGTTTGTCCTCGCTCAAACACACACTCACACACACACACACACTCACACATACGCACATGACTCCCTCCCTCAGCTCTTATTCTCATTTTGTTTTGATGTGAAACAGCTTTAATTGATTTTCCTGACTTATGTGGATGACTATTAAAATCAAAACCCTTTGTTTTTGCCCCAGATGTTGAGTGAGTGGACGTGGCTGAACGGAAGCCAGAGTTTCTCCAGTGATCTCTCCTAAGTTCAGTTTCGTTCATTGATTGATCCCGTGGTGCTGTGCTGCCTCTGTGTGGATGGGATGTCTCACTACACAAACATGTAGTGCCAGCCGTTCTGTCAATGTGAGTGAAGTAATAATGCAATAGCTCTTGGCACATATTTGCTGAATGGGATTAGAGAATAGGTACATCTGTTCACTGCCGATTATCAGAGCACTGAAGCCAATTATTACTGCAATAATGATTCACATCAGAGAAACTTCTAATATAGTTATTTATTTTCCCATCTGTAAGTTTAAAAGAGTCATTAAATGAGTTGGGGTAAAATTGCACCTCAATATGCACAGTTATGATTTCATCAGATGAGTGTAGTGTGTGTAGTTAAACTTAAAATCCCAGTTAGAGTTTGAGAGTTTTTGAAAATGTCCCAGAAATACATTTTAACCACACATTTACGTATTAGAATATATGAATGTAAATAATGTGTTGCAGTAATCTGAAATATTTCCATCATCTTTATTTGAAAAATACTGAATTATTTTAACTTTTGCACATCAATCACAAGTTAAAAAAAAAGATTTCAGTAGTATTTTAAAGAAGTGTTTTTATGTATTTCTTAATGCCGCATTTTTTTTATTGCAACGTTTATTTTCACTGAACATCATGTAAGTTTATGAGTAATTTGAATGTGAATTTTGTTTGATAACTATATTGGGGTTTGACACAAAAACAGGAACATCAGCACAGTTCAGTATCGCTGCAGTAGTTTCAAGAGATGCAAAGTTTTTAATGTGACTTAATGTTTGTGAAGACAACACACACATATCCCGTTACTCTCTTGGCCTGGTTCAAGATGGTATAAAGTACAAATGATTTATGTAAAACATAACTTTTGATTTAAAAAAAAATGTCTTTAATGATTTAAAAACTGTCAAATTTATTGTAAAACTGTGAAAACAGTTTGTAAGTTAACTAGATTTATGCAGTAATGGCCTTTATCCTCATTACATTTAAGTCTGTATTTTAGATAAGACTGCTACAGCACAATGTTGTACAGCTGCATCATGAGTTTTGTCACTTAAACATTCAATCTTTATCCCAACTATTGTCAGTGGACTCAACTGTACATCGATAATTCAAAGTGATGAGAGATGTTACATCATCCTGATGGTTGTTTGTGTACCTACTGTTAGGATTGTGATGGTGTCAGAATAACAGAATGTTAGGCGACATTCCATTATTGAATTTTCAATCTTGAAGACAGTGTTTTATTTTTCTGTAAGTGACGTCTTGTACGATTCATTCCAGTTTTTATAAGGATGAGGCACAAGTTCTCCTTCCTTTGCTGTTTCATGTCAACCAAAATAAAAGAAACAACCATTAATATGATAAAGTTTTACATTCTTTATTCCATCAATTCAATAAAATTAGATTGAGGTCCTTGCTGACTAACTTTCCTATACAAAGCACAGCACAGATAAAGTGAAATGTAGTGGTATAGGTTGAACGGGTACAGGACACAAAAGGTGATGACGAGGCTCAGCCCTTTTTACCAAAGAGGACCTGAAAAAAATCAATGTTTTGGCAACTGAAGCGTCACAGTTTCTAACTGCGTCACTGAGGTCAAATGGTCCAGTCAGTCCACTCAGTCTGAGAGTGACCGGCCGCTCTGTGTTTTCTGCTTAATGCTCTCCAGCCTTTGTTGTATCTGTTTACAGTCACTGTACTTGTCAATAACTTCCCTCAAGCCTTGAAAGCATGCAACAACACCACAACATACCAAAACAAGCTTCTTCTAATAATCGTATTCATGTCTGAAACACAGAATATATCTAAACAAAAATACGTGAACACGGCCAAAATAAGAAGGGGCCTCATAAAACCGGTCATGAGTAGCACATTATTCAGAGAATGATTATTTTTATGATACATATAACATATGGGACCTGTAAGTAATGCAACATTTAAAAATAAAGCTTGCTTCTTTAAAAATTACAGTACTGGAGGTCTTGGAGGCTGTTTGGGGTTTCAGGGTTAAGGCCAAAGAATGTGTGTTTGTGTAAATATGTGTGTAGCACTCATCGTGCAGGGAAGATGTGTTTGTGTGTCGCTGAGTGGACCATTGTGTTGTTGTCACGTTTGGGCTGTGTCTTCTTCTCTTGCGTTGCTTCCCTCTCTCTCTCCTCTTGTCCGTCCTCCCACTGACTCTTTTACGCCTCAAGCTCGAAACCCATGCCCACTTTGTGTCCGCCGCCGTTTACGTTCTTCCCGTCGATCAGACCTGAGAGCGTGAGCTTCACTCCTGCAGGGAAGAACGGTCAGATCATGTGAAGTAATCGTGCTGATGCATTACAGGAATCTAGACACTTAAAAAAGCAGTTAACAAACCTGGCCTGAGGGTTTGTGTGTATCCAACTCCAACGAGGCAGGCGTTGTTCACTTTGGCCTGTGAGGAGAAACCAAACAGGGACGGTGAGGTCAAGTTGTGACCTCTCAAAACAATGTTTTGCCTTTTTGAAAGGGTTAAAAATGCTTTTAAAGAGTCTTTTCAACTTTGTCATTAATGTTCACTTCCCTGGTCAAAGGTCACAGTGGCCTCACAAAACACAAGGTCTAATGTCTCCAAATTTTGACAAATGTTCACTTGGACTAGGTTAGATTTCAGTCACGTCACAGTGACGTCATATTATTGTGAATGAACTATGAGGGGAACACCTGGACGGACTGAAGCTGCACTGGTTGGTGGAGGCATACAACAGCACGGCGGTATTTCCCAGTTAAAATCTTGTTCTAGGGCTTTTTACCTGATATCAGTGATTGTGACTGCTGATGATGCTACTGAGAATTTTCACACCAGACGTTTAGAAGTCAGTTCTTACAGATAGGGACGCATCATTGTCCAGCTGGTATTTAGCCCCGATTCCAAAGCGAGTGTTGTTGCTGCCGGCTGTCCAGGCCAGATGCACCGCTGTCTCCAAGTTGCTGTTCACCTTTTGGTAAATGGAGCCACCAAACTCTGTGCCGTCATTGCTTAAATACAAAAGAAAACACAAAAGGTAGAGTTGAGCAGCAGTGGGTATTACTCTGAATGTTTCATCCTGGGGAAATGCTTCCTCTCTTGTGGCTGCCCTCATCCACTGCATCACTTCCATTTCCTGCCTCTCGTCACTGTGATGTGGTGACTCACACATTGGTAGAAAGCTGAAAGTCTCCGGCCTTGTATCCGAGGGCAAAGTTGTTCTGAGTCAGTTTGGACTTGGCGGTGTCAAAAGCCAACTGGTAGCCAGCGAGCCAACCCTCGTAGCCCAGCACAGCAGCTCCGTGGATGGTGGGACCGGCCATGTCGAAGTCCAGGTCACAGCCCATGTTGACATATTCACGCTTGTAGCCAGTCTTCAGTTTGGCACTCTTCTTCCTGCAGATGGAATAACAACGGAAGGAAAGAGGGGAAATCATTTAGGAAGAACTGCATAATTAATATGTTTATAATATGCATTTATATTCACTTTGCTTGTAAACTTATTGAAGACATTAGAAACTACTCAGTGTGAAGAAGACTGCTCTTACCCGGTGTTGGGCACAAATGATGTGTCCAGAGCGAGCTTCAAGCCCTTCGCCAGCTGCAGAGAGACAAACAGGAGACACAGACTGTGAGATAATGTTTTTAATTGAGGTTATGAACATTTTTAATAAGCTAAGTAAAGTAAATTCCTGTCATTATATTTAATACCTGGTCCTCCATGGTGATTTCTGTGGTCAGAGTGTTGTCTGTGTTCCATTTCTGGTTGAAGCTGAGGCCCAGCTCACTCATCTTGTATTTGGTCTCCAGGTGACCGCCGGACTTCCCCGTGTCTGTGTTGTTGGAGCCGGAGGTGGCGAACTCCTGCGGGTAAGAGAGGGATGGAGTAATGAGATGGAGGGGTTGGGGGGGGTGGATATGAAAAATGAGGTGTGAAGGGAAGCAGAGAGGCACGTTGCTACATTACAGCCCAGCTATCAAAATAAAAGTAGAGAGAGTGAAAAAGCATTTAGGAAAAGAGAGGAAGGGGAAGAAAAAACTAAGATGAGGGGAAACGAGCATTTTTTCTCTGCTGTTCCTCTGCCACACAATCCGTCTCCGGTTTGTAGGACTGTTTATTTATTTAAGATGGAGATGTGAGTTGAGAAGGAAAACTGAAAATAGAGTCTGGACTGCGAGGGAGAGGCAGGTTGTGACTGCATTTCAGGATCAGTGCTGTTACGGCCGCAGCAGTCGGGGGTAACGTTGTCACTTGGACAAATTACTGCTGCAATGAAACACTTGGCGGAAAGCCTGCACACACTGTCTGCACACAAACATCTTAATGTGTTACCCTGCAGTGCCCCTGTGTTTAATCATTACATATGTGCACACACACACACACACACACACACACACACACACACACACACACACACACACACACACACACACGCACTCTCTCTCTTACCATCTGACAGGAGCATCCAGAGAGGAAGCAGAGAAAAGAGAAAATAGATAAAGTTAGGTAGAACCACACAGAGCTTACATGCGGTGATTTCACCGGGAAAAATGAAAAGCAGAGCGACGGAAAGTGGAAACCTGTGAGTAAAATCATTCAGTGAGGTTTGAAACTTAATGCCAGCTTCATTATGGTTTTACCATGGCAACAGGTTTATGGCAAAACATACACACAGCAAACTAAAGCACTTTATCCACATCAGGATGTTGCTTGAGAAACAATAGTTAGGAGGAAGCTTTTTGAGTTACTGACTCTGTGAGTTAGACTGATGTCAGGTTGCAAACACACGACATGAACTGCTGCGAGTCTATGAGTCATCCATTTATACCAGAGAACGCTGAGAGAAAGGCCTACACGAGAAATTTAAACACTTAAGGCTCCCAGAGACTAAAATAGTACTTACAACACCACTCTGGGACTTGGTCTTAACATCCAGCTTCAGAACTCCGTAGCCTGGGAAGAAAGAAACATCGGAAATTAAAAAAAGAAAGGATGGAAAATAACAGCATGGCTCTGAAACAGCTGCAGTGAAAATAAACAGCTTGACTTCAAAGTGCCACAGAACAACATAGATTTCTCTAATATCAGTCCTGCTTCATCCAAAACATTTGAAATAAAAGAACTGTATAAATCTGATGAAGTTACCAAAGCCCTTGTTGAAGATGTCTTTGGCAGATTTTCCCAAGTCGGCGTATGCAGGAGGGACAGCCATTGTGCCTGAGGAAACACACATGTATATACTGTTCACCTTTATTCTCAACAACAGAAAGAAAACTCAGACAAAACTGCATTTGACTGATGCACAGTCAAAGGGAAACTCCAGCAATTTAGTAATGCACTTCCATGAAGCTGCAGGGCTTGCAAGAAAGATGCAGAATGTGCAGCAGAGGCTAGAATATCCTGACTTTAGTGCCAAACTCCAAATATGCTGGAGCCTGCATCTCCCATAATGCATCATGATAGCATCTAAACACCCACACCTTCTGCCAGATTTTTTGTTACACACATAGTCAGAACTGAGACAACCCTGTCTTAGAGGACATGATTATATATATATCTGTATTATCAAAGTGAGAGCAGTACTGCCCATTAGATTAGATGATCGATGGAGTGCCCCTCCAAATCAAAATTCTGCAGACAGTCACACAAAATACATGGAGCTTTCACTAAGCAATGCAACTCAGCCAGCACTGCAGAGTTCCTCAGTTGGGGAAATGTGTTTTAATTTTAATAAAACCATGTATGTTGGCACTATTTAAAATGAGAGATCTACCTTAATGTGTCTCCTGAGGTTATAAATAAATAAATAAATGCTGATGACGAAACCCAGGCTGTCTGGAGAGGACCTGTCTGGGTGCTTGTGATATCCTGCTTCTGTCCTCCCCCTCCATCGTCCATGTGAAACCTATCGATTGCCTGGCAGCTCTCCATTAGCAGGCAGCAGAGCTTGTTAAACTAATGGGACTCGCTCTATTGCAGGAAATGTTAATAAGCAAATACTGTAAAAAAAATGTAAAAAAAACACTGAGACACCAAACAGAGAAACTGTGCTTAAACTTAATATTAAGAACGTCCTCATTATGTTCTGCTTATGGAGAGAAGGGGTAATATGTAATATGTACAAAGTGTAATGACAAAGTGTCCAAGCCAATGCAGTAGAGATAACGTAAGCAGTAGCAGGTTTGGTTAGTCAGCAAGTACGAGTCCTGCAAACCACTGCACTGCACCGTAATGTGTTCAGTCAGTCATCAGGGTCCCCTGGGTCAGTTTGTGTGGAGGGGGGGTAGCTCTGACAAGGTGACTTTGCAGGAGCATTTAGAACATCCTGCATTCACTTACAGCCTAAACCTGGGTTAATGGTTTACTACAAGCTTCCCTTCCTTCTCCTGCGTCTCTGTCCCCTCTGCTGTTAATCTCGATCGTCACATCTTTTCTGCAGAGGTTGGAGAAAAGAGGGTGAAGCAGCTTCTATCAGCAGATGCGTCTCTGATTGACACGGTGCAGATGATCAACGTGTGAAAAAAGACTTCATCATCTGCAGGACGGTGCAGCCAACGTGCAATCCAGGGACCCTGATGATATGTAATCTCTCTCTATGAAAACACAACCCCCCCACTCACCATGCCCTTTGGGTGCGTGGTGCTGACATGTCACACAGTGGCCTTTGTTCTCTGCCTGCTTGCCTGTTGCTGTCTTGTCCTGCTGCATCACACTCCCCACTTCTTTCTCTGCCATGTCTCTTCAGACGAGGGGAAGAACAAGAAGGGACAAATGATAAACTTCAGCTAAAGGTCCCGTTCTGTTTAGACAGCAACGGAGCACACTATGCAGGCTGCTCTGAGAATGGCTGTGATCGTCTGCGTGCTTCCTTCGCATGCAGTCAGACCCCAAATATTGCGTCACTCTGTACTGTATATGTCAGCAGTTGGAACACTTGTACTTTGTGCACTGTATTTGAACAGGATAGGACCTGTGTGCAGCCCTCGTATGACACGGAGAGATGGCGTCTTTATCAGACAAAGGATACTGATTAGCTGCATGAAGGGTACAAAACGATGAGCTGGTGAAATACTGAAGTCCCTGTGTCCCTTATACAAGAGCACAGTAAGCACAACACATCATAAACCTGTCGTCTGTCCTCAGCATCTGTCCACCAGTGTTACATAACCAGCACCTTAAAGTACAATGTCATTCACCTCTCGCTTGTCATGTACGTGGACTACATGAGCAGAGTCCAGTGCACAGCAGTTTTTCTTTAGATTCATCCTGTACACTTTAAGAGGAGGTGTAGTCTAAATACGTTTAGAAACATCCTTAGCTCTTATTAATGAATTCATTCACCAGTACTTTTTTTTGGCTGCATCATAAACAAACAACACTGATGAATCATCAGCGTCAATGTTATTATGGTGAAATTGGAGCAACATTATGGTAAAAGGTTTTGTTCTCAACCAACTGATGACTGTCAGAGTAGTACACTGCAGTTTTAGAGCTTTTCCACTGAGATTCATTATTATAAAAATATCAATTAAACCAGTTGTAAGTTCAACATTAACAAACAACACAAGACAACGTGCTCACACCTTTCGTCAACATCTGATTCAGATAGACACAAACACCTGACATCCAGTCACAGTGCTTGTCACTAAACCTGTCCGTCTCTGCTTAGTGTCGCTCCTCATCTCTCAAATACTGAGCCGCTGTGTGCCAGCTGACCTGCACTTTACTGACCACTGGACTGTCTCAGTTATTTCACTCCTTCTCAGCTCTGTACCCTCTCACCTCCTCCAGCACAACGTCCATTTTTGACTCCTTCCCTCCGAGCCTTCGTCCCTCAATCTCTATATTTAGCTCAGGTGAACATGACACTACAACACATGTGACCGGGTTTCAAACATGTGTCCTTATCCAAGTTCAATCTGTTAAAGCTCTTAGAAGCATCGGCGTATTTCTCTGTATTGTACACTTGTATTCTTCACTGTTCTGACTCTAACCCTCTTTCACTACACAAACACACTCCTGCCACTCGTCTGCTTGAGCTGCAACCACATGGCGGCCATGACTCTGCTCAGAGGTCAAACTTTCACAAATCACTTGTGTCCAAAGAAGAAGTTCAACATCTTGGTTTCTGAAGAACAAAGAGTCATATTTTCACTCTTACATAAAAACTAAAGCAGTGTGTTCAATTATTTTACTTACTTACTAATCAATCACGAGAATTGGCAAAGGTCATTCATCTTCATCTATAAAATATGATTTCAGCAATTATTGTAATATATATTCAAGAAATGACTAGTAGCTTTGATTTAGCCACTTAATTTGACGACTAGCGCTAGACAACATTCAAAAACTCTTCTAATTTTATTTTCTGCTTTCAAATCTGTGAAGCACTTGATTTTTGAAAAGCGCTATATGAATAAAATAAATCAGCATTTCAGTGAGAATAATAATTTTGACATAACATTTTCACAAAAGATAAAAAGAAAGAAATAGAGAATGTCATTGTCTTGGTGACGAGGGGTCTTTACTGATCAAGAGTGTTCCCTTAAGTTGTATGTATATGATTTATAGGCTGCTGAACGCTTAAGGATTCATAAAAAGGTATATTGGGACACATTATTACATTTATCAAAATATCTTAAAGAATCATTCAGTCCTGTTGAAGCCGCTGATGATCGAGCCCTCGTTAATGAACAAACACTCAACATTAAACTGTGTAAACAGGCAGTTACCCAACCCTGGCTGAACCCTCTGATAACATGAAACCAGGGCCAGTGTGTGAGGCGTGGAACTGGAGGAATGTGCGGCTGTGAGATAAGTTCAAGTGCAGTCAGGTTACACCTTCAACAATTTAAAGCCTGAATGTAAAGCACATGATGAGGTGACATATTTGTTTCATGTATATGTGAATGAGAGATGAGAGACACTTCCAGTCCACCTCAGAGAGTATGACAACCACTGCTGTTGTGTGTGTGTGTGTGTGTGTGTGTGTTTAAGGAGGCATGGGTCATTTAATACTTGTTGCATCATGCTGTCTTGTTATTTATGAGTTTTTCCAGCCAGGAGACGGTCTGGTGGCCGGATTTCTTAAGTCAGAAGATCAGTCACCACATTTACCTGTCATTTATTTTTAACAGGTAAAATAACAAATTTCCTTTTGTGTGATATCCATTCTGGCAATTCCTCTCCTTTATTTTCAAATCAAAAAACACTGACTGGTGTCAGCTGTAACTTTTGTAGTTATCTGTGTCTAGTCTGACTTTTTTCTGATTGTTGTCTTTTATACTTTTGCATGTTTTGTCTGTTTTATGTGTGTAAGTGTGTTGATGTTTTGTTTTTGTCTGAATGTTGAAATATAAATATAAAAATTATAAGAAGAATGAGAAATGAATAATTGATCTTGTCCATCCAGGTTGACCTTGATGTTTTACTTCCGTTGTGTGAGTCACTACCTCCTCGCTCATTGCCTGGTAAAGAGCATGCGTACAGGAGACAGATCAAGATAAAGATCCCTGTTATGTGTCTGCTCATAAACCAAACTGTTTCAACAAGATTTATGGCATCAAGTCCTCCCGTCCTGTCAGTGGATGACGCCTCTGTTCTTCCATTGTGTGCATGACTACCAGCACAACACCTCTACCTTTCTGTTTCACACTGTACACAGTCTATGAACACATAAGAAACGTTGCAGCAGTGTTAAACTTTACAGGAAATAGGACCCCTTATTAAAAACAAATCCCCTCCACTAGACTTCTGCATATATATATATATATATATTCGTTCTCAGGCTGTTTGAAGGTGTGAGATCCAGTGAAGTAAAGCGACATACAGGCCTGAACTGGAAGTGAAACCCTTCTGCTGCTGCTGCTGCTGCTGCTGCACCCCCACCCCTTTATGTGTGACTCACATATTCTAGTAGTGAAAACCAGAAATGACAGCAGCTAAACTGTGGAGCAGATCAAACCATGAGACTATAACTTGTTTAAAATAACCGTAAGGTGAAGTCAGTGGGCTCTTACCTGTGTCAGAGGTTCGGAGGGAGCAGACTTGGTGGAGGCTGTTCGGCTGCAGCGGAGAACTGAAGGAGAAAACAGACACACTCACACTGAGCAGGCGCAACACCGAGGGCTGAGGGCGGGGCCGTTGTGTAATAAATTACAACAAAAAATAGTATTATGATCCATCAGGAAAGAATGACAGAGAGCTGAATAAGAAAATGTATATAATTCATAGGAATGTCATTCATCCATACAAACACATAAAAGTCATATATACAAATAATTTAAAACACTCTATTAAAGGTGTTTTAATACATTTAAAGTCAATCAACAGTAAGAAAAAATTAAAACAGATGATTCACTCAGTAACCAAACAACCAGTTTAAACAGACAGGGACAGACAGTATCTACCATTAGCTCCTGTCTGACATCTGCAGATATGCTACATCTCTTTAGTCTCGCTTTTTTATTTTACTTCAGGAAGTCCCTAAAATCACATTTCCCCCATTTAGAGAACTGAAATGACTGTCCCAGATGAACCCAAGCATGATTTCCTACATTATCAATCATACATGATAAAGTACAACAAAAAAACTAAAGTACATTTTCAACAATATATATTAAAAATTAACAATATTTTCTTGCTTGAATACAACATAATTTGATAACAATCAGGGACATTGTCTTATTTATGACAGATTTATATCCTCAACATGAATCTTAATTTTATGTCATTGACCTTGTACTGCCATTCCGGGGGGGGGGGGGTCCATGCCCCTAAGTCATGTGATTTCAGTCACAAGATGTCCATGTAAACCTGTAGTTAAAGTCCTGTTCACCAGATTTTGTCAGAACATGAAATAAAGAGTCTCAGGTGTCCCACATTGTGTCCCATGTCCCGGATTTGCAGAATTCAATCTACTGAGCTTTTGTGACATTTAAAATATATATGTATGATTTTTATAAAATGAGATATGCAACAACACAGTAGTGTGAGGAATGTTCTTACAAGACAATCACTGCGAACATGTTTTTATAGGACTATTCGGAAATACCACATTTGTTTTGGTGTAATGAGACTCTTCCACCGCCTGAGGGCAGTGACCTCTCGCTAACATGGCTGATGACAGTACTTAAGACTTTTACGCCCTGATGCTAGTTTGTCAGGTTGTTTATCGGCTCTGCAGGCTTCAGGGTCGAGTGGCTGCACAAAGACAAAAGTGGTATAATAGTAAAATAAAATAAATATGCATATATAAATATTTCTATATATATAGAGAGAGAGTGAGACTATAGACGGAGCTTTACAGTTGTGGTTGTAGTGAAGTAGGATTTCAAGACAGCCTGGAAGGCAACTTTCAGGGATATAAAGCTCAGCTCACACAGAAATACACCTGCTAGAAGTGAGCTCCACACCTCCCACTCTTTATATACAGTCTATGGTTATATTATGTTCATATACATATATATTATGTGGCCTTCTTAGTCATATTGTGAGTCACACTGTGATTCCCTTGTCTACCTCATTCTGACCTGCCTGCTGCTGTAACAAATACATTTCCAGTATGTGGATCAATAAAGTTTTATCTTATCTTTGAAGCGTATTTCAAGTATCTTTCCTCTTTGCGTGTGACATTTTATTTTAAATGTAATTTCAATGTGTTCTCGATCATTCAATATTTAATGTAATCATTTTACTGTTTGAATTGTCTCAATGACGTTAAATAAACAGGTCCTTCCGGTCTATCACGTCCAGTTCTATGCGCGGTCCCGCCGTTGCCATGGTGACGACTACTGAAACAAGCGTTGGCACCTCGGCGTCATCAGCGCGCGTGAACAAAACCCTCAAGAAGATAAACACAGACGATCTCAAAGGTAAACGAGTCCGGCTCTATTCCACTGGCCCGGTCACAGAGGTTTGGTCGACGAACTTTAACACTGAGGCTGACCGCTCGCTCGGTTGTGTTTGTGAGTCTGTGATGATCAGATAAGACAACAAGCTCATTAACAATAGCTATTGTTAGACAGTGTTAAGCTAGCGAATGAACAGAGATGCTCGAAGCCTCATTCAAAACAACGACTGGTTGATTGATGCTGATTTGTTAGCAGCGTAGCTACAATCAAACCACACACACACACACACACACACACACACACACAGACCACAGATGTAAACATAAATCAAACACACATAGAGTGAGTCTGTGTGATCAGCTGTTTAACCTCAACTACTAAATAATGTTGTGTTACCACCTGATGAGACACATTTGTGCCAAGTCATTCTTAAACACAATTCATGGGTTGCCAGGTTGTGGAAAATCCTCCTCCAACATGACATTTTGAAAACCAATCAGCAGATATCAATTTATTAAATTGCAGACTGTTAAATGAGATATATTAAGCTATTAAAAAGATTCTGCAACTACCTGCATGCCAGAGAAAATCAGAGATTAGTATTTTCTTGCTTTTCATTAACTCAGACTAATCAATGGCTCGATATCACTGTGAAACATCTCGGTTTGTGTTTGAATTTCTCAGCAGAAACTGACAGTTTTCTTTTTTTATAACTTGCAGCTTCAGATGTGTGAGGGGCCGTCATCGATATCTGGACCAATCCCCCCGGATCCTTCACTGTTTCCTCAGTACTACAACAAACAACCTGCTTCAGGTTAGATGCAGCCATGTGGTTATTATGGTTAACTGAAACCCCACTGTTCACATTACTTATGTAGGGTCGTTAAATTAATATCTACAAACATTAGATATCTGTCTTCTTTGTTTGATTTTTATTATTACAGCAACAAGATTTGAGTTGTTGGCAGCATATTGAATTCAATTTACATCCACACGTTGTTATAAAAAAACAAAATGTCAGACTCTAGTTGCATTAATTACTTTTCTTTCCTCCTTCAGCTCGTGGACGTTTAGAGGGGAACCACAATGGGACGTTGGCTCTGCTCTCAGGGCCTCTTGCTCCAGATCCTGTGTTGTACCCTGGCTGCTACAGTGCTCGTACCCCAGGACATCATTCCCGTATCGGGCCTAATGCTGCCCATATTCTGGAGCGAGGACGAAGAGGTGTAATTGGGGAACTCCTCAAACTAGACGGTGTTTCAATTACCCCTGTTCCCAAACAGAGTGAGTGCAATTTATTTTTTACAGCTTGTTTTGTCATGTCAGAATTTTTTCGTACTTGTTTTTTTTATTTTATTTGCTACAGCAAGTAAGAAATTATGATTAAGTACAATAACTACAAATAATATTAAAATGTAAGACATCTTTTGTTTTTTACCCTTAAGAACAGCGAATTCATGACTTTAGTAAAGAGAATGTACGTCGTCTCCGTGAGATCCAGAGACGCTGCAAAGAGCAGGAGGCTGAAAGAGCACAGTCTCGTCCAGTTCCAGTCAAAGCTCTCTGGACCTCCTCAAAATATGAGAATGTCCCATCCAGACTGATGGTCCAGCTACAGGTAAGGATTTTGTTGGGATGTTAAGTCACTGAGTTATGAACATTTCCTCTGGGTCGTTGTTAATCTAGTCTGTTTTCCACAGGTGTCAAGTCCATCTGTTAAACCACAGTGTCAGAATTTTCTGAAGGCCCACTCTAAAGGTGGATTGACTACCCCAACAAGACCACGCTCCAAAACGTCTTCTTTAGTTTTGCAACGTGCGGCGTCCTGTAGCTCTGCACGTGACCTGGATTTGCAAGTGAGAATTGCCAATACATATTTACTTATCGATACACAAACATGATCAGGCAAAAAAGGTATGGTGTGTTAAGGAAAGAGAGAAGACAAGAGATGCTTTGAACTGAATCTGAAATATTTCTTGTTTGTTTAATTTTATACATTGTTATATGTGGATACACTTACAGGTGCAAGGTCAGACCATCGACTTCATAAAACATAATGCCAGAGCTGCAGGAAAAGCTGTGATTCGTCGGTCTCAGTCACTGACCAACCTAAGAGACAAGCCTGTGCCCAGTGCTGTCAAGGGACAGGTGCCTCAGTAGTAAGTTCTCCTACACCACATCACACATTCATATTGCTAAACACTTCAAAAGACAGTTTAGATTTGTTTGATTATGTCTGTTCCTGCTCTTATGGTGACTCATACACACACTCACAGTCTTGAAGAAAGGAAGGAGCAATGGCGTAAGGAGGAGGAGGAAAGAAGGAGGAACACACCTGATCCCACAGCCCCAGCTGGTCACACTCTGATGCCTGAGAGTGAGCGACAGGAGACGCTGAAATCCCTCAAAGAGAGTATGCCTCTGTTGCTCTTCATCTCTGTCCTCATACTCACAAGTGACCTAAAGTAATGTATGTGCGGTGAATATTTGCCAGTCTAACTCTGTTGTTGCTGATTTTTCACAGCCCATCGCTCCCTGGTGACTGAGCTGCTGTCACTTCCGCTCAAAGCTGACAATCTGAGCATTCGCTCGCGAAGGACTCAGCTTGATTGTAGGCTTTCTGAAATCGAGGAGGCCATTAAGATATTCTCAAGGGACAAAGTTTACATAAAAATAGATTCCTAACACACAAGAAGAAGAGAGGGAACAGAGAAGAGGAGGAGACGGACCTGTAGATCCACTGCTTTATTGAGATTCATCTTTCATTTGTAGATAACCTAACACTGAATCATGTAATAGATGATTATATTATTGTTTTGTAAAGTGGTGGGAAGTAGTTTTTAAACTTAGTAAATTGAAAAACCACAAAGGTCAATGAACACCAGTCATGTGCTATTGAATAAAATACAATTTTATATTGGGGGGAAAAAAAGCTAATTCCAAGTTGATTAAGTAAATGTAATAATTACTTCCATCAGATCCTAAAGTATTTTTGTGGCAGAATGTTGTCGTTTTAAAAACATGATTATTTATTGAGTGATTTGTTTTGTTCTTGTGTAAATCTGACAGTTGTTGTGGTTTTTTTATAAAGTCGTTTCGTATTATATTTGTGAATTAAAACTTGCGATGCGTTTGAATAAAAAAATAAAAACTGGCACAATGCAGAGAATCACATTGAGAGTCTGTGACGTGTTACGCACGCCCCACCCCCTCCTACGTCCTGCGGCCATTGTTCGGCGTGAGCTAGCTGATGTGCTAAAGGCTAACCAAGCATACAAAGAGGTCTAACTTTAGTTTCCGCTCACATCGAACTGTTTGAATCACCAGAGGACATCTGAGAGGTTGTCACGTCAACGATGAGCAAGAGGAAAGCGCCGCAGGAATCTCTCAATGAGGGAATAACAGACTTTCTTGTCGGTACGTGAAGAATCAGACGGTTGCTCCCAGCTAACAGATGCTAGCACGATTGCTATGTTCTACTTTTAAAAATAATAACCCTAAAGAAACGTGCTGCTTGTGTCCTTTATCTCTCAAACTCTGCCGAACGATTCTCTTCCTCTCTTGCATGTCTTGATTATTGTTTAGAAGGTAAATCTGGGACGTTAAAGGCCACTGCCATTTAAATGCCTTCCTGAAATAGCAGCAATAAACTACAGGGGTTTGATCCCATAAAAATAATCCTTTATTCGTGCCACAAAGGGGAAATTTGCAATATTACAGCAGCAACAGTCAGGAATAGGCATCAGTAAGTAATAAGTAACATGCAATTCAAAGTGTGAGGATTATATTATACGTGTGAGGAAATGTAAGAAATATATGAACATCTGAATGGTATAAAAAGTAATATATACAGTGTGAGAATACCTGTGGTGAGTAGATTGCACATGAACCATCATGTTGCACAGACAGAATGAATATTGCACAGTGAAGGGAGTTAAAGTTCATACTGGGTGGGTGTAGGAGCAGAGCTGGTTGTACAGTCTTTCTGCTGCAGGAAGGGATAGACCTATGATACTTCTCCTTCAGACACTTGGGGGGAGTCAGTCTGAAGGAGCTGCCCAGTGCTGTGATCGTGTCCTGCAGGACGTGGGACTGGTTGTGAATGAAATATGAATCTATGTACCGTCTTACTTCTCTTTGCAGAGCTGGCCAACTACGAGAAAAATGTCAACAGGGCCATACACAAGTACAATGCTTACAGGTAAGCTCTGGAGGCTGAGCAATGACGTGTTCAAATATTGTGTAAATACAGAAATAAAGGAAATCTGATATTGAGAGCGGACACATCCAGTGGCCCTGTAAGTAAATTAAAGCATCTAAAATGTAGGTTAATTATGCTCACAGACATAAAGGTAATTTATTTATTACAACAACTCTGTAACAAATCCGACCTACCTTAAGATTATTGTGTGATGGTCATTTTCATGACTATAGTTTGTGCAGTGGCTGGACTTAAAATGCACTGAGGTGCGTTTGTATGTCAACAACATCACTTATATAAGTGAGGATAGAATAAGTATATTAAAAAAACACATAAAATAAATACAACATAACTCCCTCTTTTGTAACCATATTATTGGATTACCCATAAAAAGGTTTCATCAGATACCAAATGTTTGATAAAAGGGTTAGGGATGGATTTTTAACATTGTTATAGCAGGAATTCAGTCAAAGCCTTTTACTATGGTGTTTTGCTATTACATAACCACTGGTCTTGTGCTCTGTGCCTAGGAAAGCAGCATCTACCATTGCCAAGTACCCTAACAAGATCAAGAGTGGTGAAGAGGCCAAGAAACTGGTATGTGCCTTGAATACAATTTTACAAATTGAATGTCTCAATTGAGTAACTTTTATAAATAATTCATTTGCTGATTTGTGGCACATGTTGCCAATTGTCCAGTACAAGCACAAACATAGACAGTGTGCATTAAGTCCTGTTATAAATTCTACCTTCATGAAGGTTACAGTGTTTTGTAATTTAAAACACTGATAATAACAAACTGGTCACTTACGTTTTTGTATTGTGTCACACATGTGCTTCATAAAGAAATTCTGTTAGGTTTTTTGATAATACTATTTTGAAAGTATGCTGGTGTAAGATGTTTGGGAACGACTGCATCATTGTTTGTCTTCCCTAACGCTTATGTACTGATGTTGCTGTGGTTGTGTGTGAAGTGATGCCCTTTGCTTAGCCTGAACAGCCACTCTGGGAATCTTACGTAACCGCTGCAGCTCGCACTTCTCAGCACCCACTTGTTTGTTTTCCCATTTTAACAGGATGGTGTTGGAGCTAAAATAGCAGAAAAGATTGATGAGTTCTTACAAACTGGGAAACTGCGCAAACTGGAAAAGGTGAATCATTTGGCATGAGAACATGTGATCGGTGACACACTGTTTTTTATAGCAGTTAAATTTAACACTTTACACAGACTTATGTGCTGCTTTTATATTTTTCTCTAGATCAGAAATGATGACACCAGCTCTTCCATCAATTTCCTCACCAGAGTCACTGGAATTGGGTATGTCTTAAGTGTAAAACAATACCTTTAATATTTTGTATGGACATTCACAGGGAAATACATCAAGACTAGTTCAAATCAGTGGACCACATGTTTTATTTTCATTTCCATTTCCCACGTGCTTCATATAACAAAGTGCATCTTTTGGCTCTTGACTTCAGCCCTGCTGCTGCCAGGAAGTTTTTTGAAGAAGGGGTGAAGACATTAGAAGGTTTGTTTTGAAGCTGACCCACATTCTAATTGTAAAAATACCTTGTTTCATCTATTTTTGTAGCACATATTCAATAAATGTACATTATGGTTTTAATGGTCTTTGTTTTTTCCTTTTTTAGATCTGAAAAAGATCGAGCACAAACTAAACCATCATCAGCAGATTGGACTCAAGTAAGTTTTGCTCAGTGCTCTCAGATATAGTGAAGTCTTCCGCTATTGATACGTGAGCTGTGCTTCATGGATTATTTGGCTGCCTTCAGGTATTTTGAGGAGTTTGAGAAAAGGATCCCTCGTGCTGAAATGGAAAAGATGGAGGTGATCAAGCATTTTTATTTTTCTGTTATCGTCTGATGAGTATTGCTTAGCTTTTTCTAACTCTGTTTACAAATGTTTCCTTAGACTTTGATTCTTGGAGAGTTGAAGAAAATTGGTAAAGAATATATTGGAACAATCTGTGGAAGTTACAGGAGAGGTAAACATTTTCCCCTGAAGATTATTTCAGCTGATGTCAATGACGGGTTCCGACTCTGGGAATCATGATATTGATTCACATGTTCATAAATTCCAGGTGCTGCATCGAGTGGTGATATTGATATTTTGCTGACACATCCAAACTTCACCTCTGAGACTGAGAAACAGGTAAGACTCCTCTCCATTGTACCTCATCATTGTAGACACCGTGTGTTGTCATGATCTGCAGCTTTTATCTTTGTCTTATTCGTTTTTTTCCTTTTTTTTCTTTCCCAGCCGAAGCTCCTCCACGACGTGGTCAATCATTTGGAGTCCATTGGGTTTGTGACCGAAACTCTTTCCAAAGGAGACACCAAGTTCATGGTGAGGCCTGTGATTATTTTGTCTCATCTGCCCAGTTGTGTGTGTTTGGTGTGTCTGGTAACACAGGCAGTACAGTAACTATACCCAACCCATGAAGCGCATGACTGAGGTCACAATGTTCCAAATCTTATTTCTAGGGAGTCTGCCAACTGCAGCAGAGTGGTGATGATGATGATGAGGAGGAGGATGAAGAATACCTACACAGGCGTATTGATATCAGGTGCCCTGCTCCATATTGCTCTGTGTTTCCAGATTAGGTTTTATGAGTATATGTTTATATAGAACAATATTTGCTAAGTCACTGCATTGGTCAGGATAATGATGTGATTTATTAAATTGTGTTAAAACATTATCTCTCCTACTGCTACATTAACAGGCCCAGTTTGCTTTTTTACATTTAAATACACAGCTACAACAGTGAATAGGCAACTTTCAATTTTTTCTATATTTCTTCTTACCATCTGTTTGTTCCTGCTAATATAATAAAGTGACATATTATTCTTTCCCCATTTCCCCAAAGGTTAATTCCTAAGGACCAGTACTACTGTGGAGTCCTGTATTTCACTGGAAGTGATATCTTCAATAAAAATATGAGAACTCATGCTCTGGAGAAGGGTTTCACTCTTAACGAGTACACCATCCGACCACTTGGGGTCACTGGTGAGTCTCAGTCAAATATGACAAGAACCTTGTGAACTCTGTTCTAGCAACCTGCCGCTTCTGTCATCAGTCAGTACCTACACATGCTTTCAGCTTCTAATATCAGCTATTTCTCTGTGTCTGCTTATTTTAGGTATGGCTGGGGAGCCTCTTCTGGTGGATAGTGAGAGAGACATCTTTGAATACCTCCAGTACAAATACAGAGAGCCAAAGGAACGCAGCGAGTGAAGTTGAAGTTTCATCTGTATTAAAAGCTACAAGATCAGAAGCATGTGTACACAAAGTGCGTGTTAGTCTTTCATATACCATTCAACAATGTTATTGAAATGAAAACAACTTTGAACGTCATTTACTCACTTGTTCTGGACATTTTTTAATCTTGTTTTTCTCCGTAGTCATGTATGAAAGCTTATGGGCTTTGAAACATTTTCAGCAAGTTTTTAAATAATGCTCAACTGTAATTTATTTTGTTTACATAACCTGGAAGGATCAGTCTTAAGGAGATGTGTAATACTTTGGCTTGGTTGTGAAAATGTGGTTTAATGTGTAGTTATTACACATGCAAATGAGATCGCTACTATATCTTTAGTAGTTTTGTAAAATCTCTTTTACCATGGAAATAATGTGTATGGGGGGGGGTGTTAAACATGTATTATTTATCTTTCATTTTGGGCTAGTTAAAAAATATGGGTGAAAAATGTGTAGTATATTGTGCAGTTTCTTTTTCTAGTGACAAATTTTGGACAAATTAGGAGGATACACATCTTCTCAGGTTTTGATTGATATGTGAAAAAGACTGTTACATGTTGTACGAGTTTGTGTGGAAAAGGATTTCGTGTGAGGAATTGTGTGATCCAGTTTTTGGGCAGGCATTTTAAACCAGTAAATGAAAGTGAAACAGCTAACAGGCGACAGGAACGCAGCTACAGAGTAACTTGTGGTATATATTTTAATCTGTTCCACAAAACCTGAATGTTAGGATTAGGACTTGAAGTCAGTTTTTACTGTGAGTGATTGCATTTAGTTCAGAAAGTATTTAAGAAAAAACTATGTCAAAGAGTGGGTTTGTTAACATCTTTTTATAAATTAGTAAAATAAATGGGTTGGTAAAATGACAGTGTGTAGTTTTTATTTAATTTTTTCCTTTGCTTTTCAACCTTTCTGAAAAACGTGTCATGTCCATCTGAAATGTTTGGTGTATTTTTTAAACTAATTGTGGCTTAAGCTCAGTGGGCTTGCATGGCGGATAGCTTTGTTAGCATAGCTGGACCGTGCTGGGTGTAGGCCATTGACCATGTAAATATAGCTGCGGTGTTTCGGGTTCACTCTGGGGGAAATTTGTTGTAGGAACAAAAGCCGACTACCATTTCACAATGAAAATAAGAGCCACATGTTTGGTCCAGTCTGGAAAATTTCTGGTGATGAACATACTTCTGGGAAAGCCATGTAGTCAACAGTTGTTTTTTTCGATTTGTTTTTTTTCGCCTGCTCAAATTCTCCATTACCGTTACAGACAAAAACTCCTCAATTCACTTGTCAGTGCTGCTCCCTTCATCTCTATCATGTTCTTATGTTTAAATACTTTAAACATTGACACACTTTTTAATTATGTTGTAAACTGTTTCTTCTCATCAATGTGTAAATACTGTTATTTGGTTTATGTTCTCAGTTACATGCATGGTTAAGAATAGAAGATGCCACACCTTGTTAAGGCCTATGAGACAAATTGTGATTTGTGAATATGGGCTATACAAGTAAAATTGTATTGATTATTTTCTTAATAACAAAGACATCATAACATGTTTTTTTGTTTTAAATTTTTTGAGAGTATACCAGTGACCACACTTCAATCGTATAGTTTTAATTTGGGTCCAACAGTGCTTTTTTCAAATAATGACTAATTTACAGATACAAACAAATAAATCAAATAAAACTTTATAAAAAGTTACCAATTGTTAGTTTGATAAAGAATGTTTTCTATTTATAGAAGGTCATATTTCGTATTTTATTTTTTATATATTTTACAGTTTGATGTTATTATATTTCTCTATATTTATATATTTTATTATATTTCGAACTCTTTCTTCAGAGATTGCTGTAAAACAAAAACGCACGATGTTAAAATATAACATGTTTTTCTACGTTGTCTCCGATGCAGCTGTTTACTACGGTCGCCGCGGCAACGGTCGTGCCGCAAGGCATGATGGGTTGAAATAAAATGCTGCCATAAACACCGGAAAGATAGACGCCGCCCAGCCAATGAACTCGCTCCGTGCATTAATACCAGCCAATGGGAACGCGTCGGGTATTAAAGGCACCAACCGCTACACCCACACCGCTTTTGTGTGAAGGAGTTCGCGGGAGTTGTCACCACAGCAGCGATCATCTCTCAATAACCCGAACATCAGCAGCGTAGGAGGTAAATATAAATATGTGAAAGTAACGTGCGGGGGATTACACGATGTCTTAATGGATTCTCTTTTAAAGTAACGGTAATCTTTCATGGTGCTTTTTATTCCTCTTGGTGGATGAATGAGCGGCCGGTCATCGCTCAGAATGCATGTGGCGATGTGTTGCTAGCAAAACCATCCCCCCCCCCCTCCCCGAGACGCCTTCCATCAGATAACGTAAAGTCCCGTGTTTGTCAAACGCTGTGTGTTTTTTAATTTTCCCATCTGCACATGGGAAGTATCTCTGGCGTGTTTTCGTTGCGGTGCAGTCGCAGAAACGTGCGTCCATTTCGCTGCCTCGTACCTCACAGGCTTCGCGTTTTAAACAACAACAACAACAACAAAACAAATCAAAACCCTCCGTTGGATCGTAGGCGACCATCGCAAATGTCGTGTGTGTGTCTGTGGAATGTACGCAGAGAGCGCATCCCGGGAGCTCTCAGCTGATGGAAGTTGTTACGCAACACTTGTGGAGATGGCAAGTTAAGAAATTGTGTGTCCGTTATGTAATTACATCGTCACCAGCCATTTTATTTCCTCCTCCTTACTCGCTCAGAGACGCTCTCGATGCACGATCGTTTGAATCCATCGATGGTGAGAACCTCAGGGATGCTGGGGGGGGGGGGTCGAGCTCCGTGCGTATGTGTGTGTGGGAGAGAGAGAGAAAGCTCCTAAGATGATGATGATAAATCCTCTGCTGTGTTTTGGTTTCCCAGGACAACCATGTCTGACAGAAAGGCAGTGATCAAGAACGCTGACATGTCCGAGGACATGCAGCAGGACGCGGTGGAGTGTGCCACTCAGGCGCTGGAGAAATACAATATCGAGAAAGACATCGCTGCTTTCATCAAGAAGGTACAGAAAAAGAAAAAAAGGCTGCTTCTGCACCCCCATGCAAATCACTCCAGGAACAGTGACACTTATCTAATCCATTATTTCTGCTCAAGTGCCAGAGATGTTATCTTTTACATTCCCTCACTTATTGCCCAAACTGGTCTCACCAATTGTCTCCGCTCTTCCTGAGGAACAAGCCACATTTTTCTCTCCGATGACATTCCTGTTCCTGAGTAGGGAGGGACACACCTTCAGTCATAGAGACAGTGTCACATATGTGGATATAACTTACTGTATATTATCTTTCATAAAGTGTTAATGAACACTTTTTAATCATTATTTAGTCTTAAGGGCAATTAAAAGTCCCTTAAGTATAATTTAGCTGTTCAGACCTAAATAATCTCACAGAATTACAATCACAACCACACAATGGTAAAAATCCAGACTTTTAGTCATGCATTTCCAGTTTGGGGCACACACAATTAATTGTTTCTAACTCTCAGTGACTGACATTATAGGCAAAACTAAATATTTCCACTCAGTGACGTCATTACTGACAATGAAAGGAAAATATTTTGGGTGTGATCATGTGTAGAAATCAGTCTTGGCTTTAAATAGGGATTTGTATTTCCTGATAAAAAAATAACATTAGTTTTGATGTTTAGTTAAGGAAGAATGTTCTGTGTTCATGTCACACAACAATCTAGTGTTCAGATAATTGTGTGACTTGTTGTGATGTAACCTTTAAAATAATTAATCTGGTTTGTCAGATGTTTTCACTCACCTAATGTATTCCATGCTTTATGTAATAATGTATTCTTGCTAGAAGATATCTACAAGTCTAACCCGACAAAAATGTCCCTTTCAGGAATTTGACAAGAAATACAACCCAACCTGGCACTGCATCGTGGGGAGGAACTTTGGCAGCTACGTGACTCATGAGACCAAGCATTTCATTTACTTCTACTTGGGTCAGGTGGCCATCCTGCTGTTCAAGTCCGGCTGATGGACACATTTTTTTCTTAACACCAACTGACCATACATACAGTAATGACTGACTCGACAAAGGCACTTATCATTCCTTGGCAAGGGGCCGCTGCCTTTTTCTGTGCTGCTTTCTCCTTTCTTTTTTTTTAAGGATTAAAAAACAGTGGCCATGTTATAGAGATAAAACACTTCTATTTATTTTTGTCTTGTTACATGACATGTCATTTTTTTAATTAAAGCATAGCTGTTAAGCTGTCTGGGCCCAATGTCTGGTGTGGTCACTTCATTGTACTGATTCATTTTACACCACAACATTTATGATCCCATAGGAACAGGTACTTCTGTTTTTGGAAATAGATCCAATAGGATGAAATTATCAAGTTGAGTTAGTCCATAGGAAATGCGAACTTGATACCTGTGTAATCAAGTAAGAGTGTATAGAAGAGAGGTGCTGAATATTTCATACACCCAATTATTTGAGCCAATGCATCCAGAAGGTTCCTGTTGCTACACAAGCACATTTACCTTGAATATTTTGTGTTGTGTTCATTGTCCAAATCACAGCAGGCTTTAGTTGCCTACAGGTAAATCTGTCGAAAGCATAAGAGTCATCTGGACCATAAACACTAAAAAGAACGCTGCTTGTTCGGAAAAACATTTTAGCAAAATTTAGTTGGACATTAACAGTGAACAGCAAACAATCTACACCAGAAGCCCCAAAATATTAGCCATAGCCCCTAGAAGCTACTTTGTCATCTGTTAATATTAAATCTTGCCAATGGTTAATTTAAAAATGAAATACATATTATAGCTCTGGAAACACTTCAGTAGAATGGCTGCAAGATGATGGCAAAGAAAAGGTTTGTACCAGAGTATGCACAAAAGTCAGGACAAACAAGGCAGGAGATGGTATAAGATGGTGGTACTCTTTATTTAACACATTTAGAAAACCAGCTTGTGTGGGTAGACACCGTTAGACAGGCAGAAGCTGGAGCGCAGGTACCCTTTCAGCTGAGGGGTTTTCTTAATAAGGGGCAGGAGTTGAGCGTCAACAGCCTTCTGGTCCACCTTCCTCTGCTCTGTCAGCTGGTACTTCTACAAATTGAGAAGATGACCAGCGTCAGGTAGGAATCAAACTAGAAGCTCAATGTTCCATAGAAAATGAAATAGTGTATCCTGAGAGAACATCCATGTTAGCTCACCTCTTTTTCTGTGTCAAAGATCTCTCCTTCCTGGTGACGGGGCCTCCTCAGCCTCTTCTTCTTAAAGTAGGCGTCATTCAGGTTCTTGGGGATCTTCATGCCAGAGATGTCAACTTTTGTGTTGGTGGCAATGCAAAACTTCTGATGAGCCCTGCGCAGGGGGACTCTGTTCAAAGCAAGAGGGCCTAATCGTGCAATAACAAGAACACATTGTCAAGAAAAATAAAGCAAAACATTGAGCAAACAGTGCTACAACCTTGAAATATGGATGATCTTTCTAAGATGTGTTGAGTGATCAAAATCTTAACCACTACATACCAGTGACAAGCAGGAGACCACTTGAGAGCTGCTTCAGGAAGACCACGCGCTAAAAGAGAAGTGTCATTGATTTAAGCTGCACAGGCAAACAATTTCTACATCAACCACTGTGTACAATAGTTAGTGACAACCTGAAAACAACTCAGCTACACAACTCGAGTAGTAAGCTAAAAAAAACACAAAAAGAAAAGTAAACACATTTATGTCATGAGAAGACAATGGCTGCAAACCACTTTAATGCATGGCTATTTAGAAAGGGAAAATATAAACCTACTTGACACACAGATTTTAATTGAGGGGGCTCTTTGCCTGTCAGTTTAATAGCTGAAACATTATCTAGGTCAGCCACTGCTTAGTCTGTGTGGGCATACTTGCTTCACAACTTGCCAGTGTAGTGTTCGAGTGTGGGAGGTACGTCTGTGGTACTGTGGGTGTGTAATTACACTGATATCAAACCAACAATGTGTCCTTCATCAGAAATTTTTCTTGCACAATAGGGATGCACCTTTTTTTTTTTTCTTCTTTTAAATGTGCTTTCTCTGTGTCTCCTATAGAAACTGATTGTGACGAACAAGACTGTTGTGAAAAAAGATTATCTATGACATTCAGGAAAAAATACAAGTCAATCTGAATTATAGTGACTAAATTTGCATGTTCAATGTCAAGCGTCACAACAGAAAAATAATCAAGTTCGGTTTAAATAGCCCAGCGCTGAAAATTTGGTTTAGACTCCCGAGTCCTTTATTTAATGGTAAATCTTCTTTCCAAACCAGATTTTTGGATGATTATTGGTCTAAACTGCCAGAATATCCATGAAACAGTCAATCAGAAGTCTTGCTAGTAAATCTAGACATCAACTACCATCACCTTTCACAAGCAACAAATTACTTCACCGTCCAAACACTGAAGATGACTGAAGTCATGGCCATGATCTAATGAATTAATAATATCCAACAGTAATCCTCTGCATTGCGTTTACGATTTTTTATTTTCTATATTGGAATGTCAAAAAAAATCCTTGAAATCAGAGTTGCATGTTTCATAGCTGGAATATGGACTTGCAAACACTTCATGTAATAAAACCTTTAGCATTATTAAAGCTCATATGTTTTATAATGACCAATCTCAAAATTAAAAGCCAATTATCAGTGGGAATGCATTCAGGTTTTTATGCTAAATGATGAGCACTCCTTTTGTTAACATCTGAATCAAATACCTGCCTTGATATTCTAAATACTTTTATACCAAGTCAGCATCAAATCAAACAATTTAGTGTAATTTATAAAAGCTAGAGATCATCTGGTTTTAGTTGGACTCTAAACTTATAACATTAGATCTACACCCAGTCATGCGGGGGGCATTACATAGTGACCTGACAAGTAAAATCGACCCTCTACAACTATTATTTGAGTATTTTCTGCCAATTACAGTCAACAATTTAATTGATATCAAGGCGTGTGCTAAGTGGTTCTCACCTTTCCACGGTGGCGACCAGTGAGCAGAATGAGGACACTTCCTGGGGTGATAGAGGCGCGCAGCTTCCTCTTGTGCTGGCTGAAAGGCTTCTTCCCGTGACTCTTCAGTTTGCGGGGAACATCCTCTGTGGGGTAGTAGCGGGGCTACAGTTGGAACAAAAAATGTATTACTATTTTAATTCTGAACTTCAAATATCCAGTGGATGAAATGCACATACAAAACGTTTACACTAAACTAAATGTCAGTATGACAATACAATTTAAGAGCAGCACTAAGAGAAAATGATCATGGCATTGAATTAAACCATTGCTTGCTGTTGTGTGGTGCAGAACTGAATGCACTTGTGTGTGTAGACTATGGATTGATGGGGATCTGCCAGACTGATGATGAATAAAATAAAACAATTTATTCGATCCAGTCCAAGCAGCCGTTGATTGCTTCAAGTGTGTGTTTGCCTTCTGTTTCTGTTCACATACGTCTATCTATAGTTTCATCTGTCATTGATATGAGCAGAATCTATTCTGAAAGACTAGTAGACATGTCACTCACCATCTTACGCAGTTTAACAACACGTGTGCCTCCATTTTTGTCTCCTCCAACAGTCTTCACAACAGTGAACTGTGGTTTCACCTTCAGCTTCTTCTCCACCTAGAACAAGAGCAATTGATCATCAACACAGGACACTCACAGCTGATGCATATCCCATTTTTGTTACGTGTTGCAGGGCGTCCATGTAGCGGCCCTCACCTTGGTCTCAGTGGTCTTGGTCTTCCGCTTGTACATAGCCCGCCGGGCGTACATGGCGGAACGGGAGTAGCGGCCGATACCCCGGGCCAAAACCGGGTTCCGGCTCCCGTGCTTCTTCTTGGCCGCCTTTTTGTCACTCTCTGCCATCTGAAGCAAAATAAAAATAAATGTTAGTCTAACAACTGAAGCAATGTCACAGGATTTGAGTTGTCGCGGGATTTACATTAACAAAAGGTTTCCAAGCCTAAATATAACATCCTCACTACATACAGAACATTACTTGATTATCATTGTATTGAATAAAAATAAATCACTTCCTGGTTGCTGATTAGAAATAAAAACACAATGCACACATTTCAGTACTGTGTTCAGAGCTCTGAAAAAATACCACTGACGACTATGACTAATGAATAGTAGTCTGAGAGTAAATGATGTTCATAGTGTGAGTTGGTGAGAAGGAAATAAATCACTATTAGCATGAATGTGAGTTCTGGGCACCACAGCTAACACCAATGCAACGGGGGCAAGACTTGTAATGTTAGCTAGCAGCTAGCACCAGGGACAGTAGAGTCGCTAATCAGGTTTAACAGTCACTCGACTTAAAAACAGCAGAAATTCATGTTTTAAATAAAAAACCCGAGTGTGTGAGCAGCAGAGGTCTAAGTTTAAACCACACGAACACATCGCAGAACAACACGTTTCTATTAGCATGCTAGCTGACGTTACAACCAGCACGAAGGCTAGCCGGCGGCCTGGTGCTGCCGATAACACTAAACTTTTATTTTACTGACACATGGCGGATACATCTCTGTAATAATCGAATCTGACGCATCATCTAAACGCACAGATTCACCTCCGGATGGTTTTTAACTGTCGTTTTTATTCTGTAACGCAGATGAACGTAGATTGGATTCCCACAGTCACACGAAAGCAAGGCAGTCTTACCTTAGCTATGAAAAAAAGACCGACATCCGGGGATGTGACGTTTATAACGACGCTGCAGCATGACGTTGACGTAAGTGCGTCGCCTTTCAGGGATCTCTAAGCCTCGTGGGACTTGTAGTCCTAAACACAGTTCCCCTGTGTACTCAGAGTACACTTGAAATAATAAAAACACAACATTTATATTTGATAAACACTAAAAACAACTGATACTCAACTGACTTGTCTTTGTCTTTAGTATATCCAGATTAATATCCCCAAACTATTTGTGACTTTTATTTTTTTTCCTCAAGTAAAGTTTTTGAGGGGCGTATTACGAAGAGCATGTGATGTTCAATGTATGAATTATAATATAATGATATTAATACAACTAAATCTGATCATATATAAGACTATATTTACTGAATTAAAATGCTGATTTGTGTGAAAGAGAATTACCACTAGGACTGAAATAAAAATTACAAGTGGTTCTCTGTTAAATCCTAAATCCTTACTGTTACATTGGGGGGGGGGGTGAATCAATGTGTACAGTCAAGAGCTGCAGATGAAAACTTAATTTATTTTTCCAAAAGTCTGTTTGAGTTTGACACAGAAATACAAAACCACACATCAGACATATTTTCTGACAGAAACAATCCCTGATAAAAGTGAGATAAAGAGCATAAAGAGGCCAACAGGGGTTTTCTGAGTTTCTTCAAACGTCACTCTGATCGCACACAAACTGTCTTCGTAAGTTATTAATATGCTACATGGGTTAATGCAAACAAAGAGAGTCCCCTCTGTCTTTAAGGCACATAAAGAAAACAGACTCTTGCTGCACTCTGGTACAATGATCAGACACGTGAGTTAGTGTTTGGTTTTCACAGGCGACACTGGACTGAAACATTTCTTGTTCGTTTTTTATAAAAGACTGAAAGAAGTCACAAAAAAAGGAAGTTAGCACTTTGATCATTTTGTGTGTACGTGGAAGAAAATCTCTTTAGCATATGTCGACTGAATTTCACTTTTATTGGAGTGGAGAAAGTGTGTTGAACATTCTTCTACAGAAATTCTTCTGACACTGGCAGCTTCTTCCGTCAGTACTTTTCCAGGACGATGGCGATGCCCTGACCTCCTCCGATGCAGGCGGAGCCGACAGCATACTTGCCTCCTCGTCGCCTGTCAAAAACAGAGATCATTATTAAATTACAAAGCTTCTCAAAGTGCCAACATCTCAGATGATTCGCAGTATGTATAATTATGACTGGTTACCTGAGCTCATGAACCAGGTGACCAGTGATGCGAGCTCCAGAAGCACCGAGAGGATGTCCAATGGCAATAGCACCCCCGTTAACGTTGCTTTTCTCTGGATCCAGACCAAGAGCCTTAGAAACAGCCAGGAACTGAGGAGCAAACGCTTCGTTCACCTGCGCAAAGCAAATAACATCAGTGGAACAACTTAGTAATTATAATGTGAGAAAATCAAAACCTGAAATCGAGTGGTGGACGTTTAACCAAGTATAACGGAGCTTGAGTATTTCACATTGAGTTACTTGATACTCTCACACAGAGGATGTCACAGGTGTTTTTCACAGGAAACAAACCTCCACTAGATCCATATCGTTGAGAGTCAGACCGGCTTTTTTAAGAGCTTCTGTGATCGCTGGGACGGGACCTAAGATGATTCAAAGGAAACCAGACATTCTTAGTAAAAGAGATCATGTTGAATACAACGACAGTTTATTAGCCTCTAACAGGTGTCACTCACCAATTCCCATAATGCTCGGGTCACAGCCCGACACGTGATAGGACACGATTCTGGCCAGTGGAGTGAGTTTATGCTCCTTCAGTGCATCTTCACTTGCAATCACTAACGCAGCAGCACCGTCAGATACACCCTGGAGATCAGGCAGAGAGTGTTCAGATTAGAGCCATATATATGTATATGTATACAGCAGACAGCACCTCAGGCTTTAACTCACTGAAGCATTGGCAGCAGTGACAGTCCCTCCCTTTTTGAAGACCGTGGGCAGTTTGGCCATCTGTTCTAACGTGGTCTGAGGCCGAGGGTGTTCGTCCTGAGCCATGGACACTTTGCCTTTCTTGGCTTTCACATCAATGGGAGCGATCTCTGCTGTGTAGTGACCAGCTTCATGAGCTGTAGATAAAAAGATCTTGCTGTTTACACTGAATACCAGTCTTTCTTGTGACTAATATATTTCAATGTTACTATGCTGTAAGGCGAGCAGGCCATGAACAGACCACCTTACCGGCCTTCCATCTTTGTTGCGTCTGGAATGCATAGTTGTCACAGTCTTCTCGTGTGATCTGGTATTTGTCTGCAAGGTTTTCTGCCGTGATGCCCATCGGGATTTTAATGTGCAGGTCAGTGAGTCCAGCCCACAAAGTGTCCTCTAGCTGTCAGACAAAGAGGAGTTATTGTTTAAGCGTCTGGGGTTCAATAAAAAGCTCTTTCCATGAACATCACTTGGTTCCATGCAGTTATGTTTGGGGAATATAAAGTAGAAGAAATGAATTGAAAGCCAACCTTAAGATCGAATCCAAACTTTGTACCAAATCGTATGTTGCGGGCAGCGTACGGGGCCTGGCTCATACTCTCTGAACCTCCACACAGGACCATCTCCGACTCCTTCAGGCAAATCTCCTGCAAACACACAAAGCCAAAGGTGTTTGTTTTGGAGCAGCAAGGCAAAAGATATGTTCAACTTTTTTTAGGTCACAGTTAAAAGCATTGGGATGGTTATATTGAGAAATGTTTTTAATATTTCCCAATTTTCTCTTTATGTAGAAAATATGAGGAACACCACTTAATAAAATGCAGTCCAGTGCAACATCACCTTATCTCAGAAACGTATATTTCACACTCTACAGCAGTGTCAACAAAAAGTAAACAACATGGGTAACATAGAAGTATACCAGTTGTATTGGATTTTATTAGACTGTACATGTGTGTCTAATAAAGTGGCCACTGAGTGTTTAATACATTTGTTCATTTGTATTTCTGACGTATTTTTTTTCGTGTTGGAGTTTTTACTTGAGCACCGCTGATGACGGCCTGGAAACCAGATCCACACAGTCTGTTCACAGTGAGCGCAGGAACTGGGATGGGAACCCCACACCTCAGACCCACATGACGAGCGATGTAGGGTGCATCTGATGAGCTCTGAGATTAGAGAAGACGACACGACACTAGTCAGCATACAAATAAGTACGTTAAAACAGGTGCTTTTGATGTTGAATGTGACCAATGGTATGTTTTTATTTTAGTTACCTGCATGACATTCCCCATGATGACACTGTTTATGAGCTCTGGCGCGACCGCCCCTGCAGCGAGGGCAGCTTTTGCGGCATGCTCAGCCAAATCTGTGGCACTGTGATCCCTCAGCACGCCACCATAGGTACCGAACGGAGTGCGCTTGGCAGCTACAATAAATACACCTGTAGAGAAAAGGAGCAGTTTAGCGCAGTGACAGAAGCTCCCACCTTTAAACCACAGCCAGAACATTCACTGGGGAGGCACATGCTGCAGAGCTGTTTGACACAGTGAGATGCAGAAGATAAAAGAGGAAACACCACCAGATGCATGAAATAGGAATAAAAGGAGCAACTACTTCTGAATTTTAAATTGTCAAAGTAAAGTATACAACCACTGTATTATGGAGATTTATTTAACTTTTTAAACAAAATTGAAAATATGTCTGTTGAGCTTCATGAAACTTATATTGTAATCAATCTACTAAAATAAAAGAATTGTGGCAAATGTTTTAATTGGAATATATTCTGCACTTGTTGGGTCATTAAGAGTGAAATCAGATCTGTAAGAGATGAGCTGTCAATGTGTTTTCACTGCGCTGGGCTTTTGATTTAGTTTGGTTTGCTATACAGATGATACCACACTGAAACATAACACTCAACAGGTATAACAATATATTAAAACAGTAAATACAGAAACTTTATTTTTCGAGATTCAGAGCTTTTATGTTTTGTGACGAAGAAACAGTTAGGTCCACTTTATGTCCACGTTACAAATGAATCAGTTGCACATTTTCTACTTTGCATTTGTGTGGAAAGTTATGCATTCAAAGAAATGTTAATGAGTCCATCGTGTCACCTTTTACCTATATTGCTATGACGTCATCCCACAGATATTATATTGTATATATTAAAATCTAAAGCAGTTCACAGTGAGGACAAGTCGTCTGGAAACACTGATAATAACTAATGTGACACATGCAGAGCTGCTAACATTCGCAGTTGTCCAGGTGCAGCAGCAGCTTCAGTGTCTGTGTTTCTATGCTCCCTATGGTTGAAGCAGAGCTGGGATGGTTTACTAACCTCTGAGAAGAGCCATGATGACGAGGATTCAACAACACACCGCTGCCGCGATCAAACCTGTCCTCGGTTTGATTTGTTGTGGAGCGGACCAAAGTAAATACAAGAGCCGGACTCCGCTGCGACCTTTCCCCCAAATAATGATCCACAGCAGGCGCACTTCACTTCTTCTTCTACTACCACCGTCCTCTACTACCTTCTTCTTCTTATTGTCAAGGCTTTGAGGGTCGTCAGGCAGTTTATTGGCGCACTACCGCCACCCTGTGGGCTGGAGTGTAATATTTTTTTCTTCGTAATTTGTTGCCATGTTCCCGATGGAAAAGTTCAATTTCTTAATTTTCATGTGGAATTTTCCTACTGGAAAAATCAGTTCCATAAAGAATTCAATATCTTCATTTGCCTCATCACTTTCAAAACATAGAAAATTGCCTCTATCCTGAAACTGAAGACCAGTTTTATTTATTTATTTGTCTTATATAATTTTGAATTTCACCCCCAGAACATTTTTGTACAGTGACAGAATAAAATGAAATAAATAAAGTTTAGTTTGTATCTACAAGTTGAT